ACAAGATCCTGTGATCTAATTGGTCGATCATATTAACCTGCGATATAGCAACCTGCGATATTTAACAATATCCTTTTAATATATACTGTACGTGGGTTTGGGGGACAAATAGAAACCCCTCATTTCATTTTAATCCGATTTCATTATAATCCGCGACGGTAAATACCCGATCACAGCCAACGAAAGCTAGAAATCAATTTGTAGAAAAATTCTCGTTTTATCATTATTGCTTCGACTAGATATGAGAAATAGTATCAATTAATTTTTAATTGGAGTAAAAACATCATAAAAATTGTCTAATTTCAAAATCTAGAAAGACAACTTTTAAAATTAATAATCTACTTTCATGAAAGGCTAAACTAATAACAACTTCTTTTAAAATACAAATTTCTGAATTGTAACACGTACAGTTTCTAATGGTGAAATTCGGATTGAATCCAGACCAGACCGTTATCGGTCCAGACTGTAATTGTAACATCAATTTTCTAACAGCTATTTGACATTTCACTGCAAAAAATCTTAATGTTTTTATTAGACTTTTAAATATTTTATTAATATCACGTTTTTTGATTCATTTATAAGATACCACTTATATATAAATTCATGAAATATAACACCAAATATGCTGAATCCTCAGCAATAAATTTTGAAGTGAATGATAGCTTACGTATATTTTTATATACAAATAGATGACTAATCGAATAATCCAGAAAAATATTTATCAAACTCTTCATCTTTACTCTTTTCCTTTACATTTGATTTTTCTAAACGAAATTTAATTGATATATACACTTTAATAACATAATATAAACGGATAAAACATTAATATATTTTAAATAAAAAAACTAATACCTAATTTCACTTTCTTGCCATCAGTTACATCTCGCCTACCTTCGCTCTTGAAATCTTGTTCCTGGTCACTAGCACTATCATAAGATTTTCTTTTTCGTTGTTCATGCTTATTCCGTTCACTATCTTTAATCTCTGATGTTTCTGATGTTTCTGATGTCTCTGATGTTTCTTCCTTATTCGCTTCTTGGTGAACCTTATTATAATTTAATTTGTAAGAGCATTTTGGACAAAGTCGAATTTTTACTAATGCATTTTTCTTTTGACCATCCTCTACATATGCAAAATTGACTTCCCAAGACTTTAAATCAACTTTTTCAGAACATCTTGTTGAAGCACAAGTTAATTGTCCTAAAAAAAGATGGCAGTATAATAAATTATGAAATGCTCGGCATTTTATTTAGATTAATGCAATGGTTCATTAACCTTTGCCTATTATAACTTCTTTTTCGGTTCTCCATCGTAATGCAATCTATTTTTTTAAATCATGTCAAGTATATTTTCAAGGTGAAATAACGATTTTTTTTAACATTAATACGTACCTTGCCTTCTTTATAATATTTTAATTCCGCTATGCAATATTCTTTAAACAATTTATCATAATATTTCTTTGCAAGCCGTTGTTCCCAGGTTAATTCAGATTCATCATCTTCATCAGAACGAAGAAATCTATAAAAAAAAAAGTCATTATGCCACCCACTTAAACTGTGTTGCTATTAATTCTTCAATTAACCATTATAATTTTTAATTACTTATGATTCTCCTTCAATATTTCAAATTCGCTTTTATATCCTTTTTCTGCATTAGTTGCAGTTCCTTGATTGCTCTTTCGACCATAAAAGTTAACATAATCGTTCATAAACTTTTTATGGCGTGTGTACTTTAAGTAAGAGTTGACTTAAGTTAAATATATATAAATTAATAAATAAGAATAAATATAAAAACTATGTTCTCTTACAGCATCCATGCCTTTTAAATTGTTAGCAAATATGCTTTTAGCGTATTCATTCTGTTCCTGAGAGTCTGCCATTCTTTGTGAAATAATTAAGTTTGGTGATCAACGTAAATTAGCGTTATTTATTATAACGATAATTTATTAATTGTGCATATTTCCGAATCGGGCTAGATTAATTTACCTAGAGTTTACCCGAATCCGATTCGATTTTATACTCAAAATTTTATACGTACAACAACGTAAAATTTCAGTAACGTTAAATGTAAAATATATACTATATACAGTCAACTCTTCCAAATCCGGACTTGGATAATCCGAACCATAACGATAAACTCTGTAAAAACCGAACACAAAACTTCAGAAAATTTTATTATAAAGTTCGGATTAGCAACATAGTAACTCTTTGAAACTGAACTTTTTGTTATTTTTACATATAAGAACGGGCTGTTCGGAATAGAGAGAGTTGACTATATATGGTTATGAGTGTACGCTGGGATGTGAATAGACAGTACAGTTTAATCAAAAATAATCAACATTAACCAATCAGACTACTTTAAACTATATCTGTATATTTATTGCACGCTTCAGAATTGCCGGGCTTTCCCTTAGCGTTAATAACACCCATTTATTACGCTCACATTTATCATCTTTGTTACGTTAACAGTTACATTAATTGTTACGTTAATAGTCACGTTAACAGTCTATTTTATTTATCATATTATAATTTTTTTAATGATCGAAATTCTGGTTATTAAATTTTTATAAGGATACAATTGTTCAAAAAATCAAGATTTATCTAATTACCAATTACAGAGGGCGGGAACCGGACATCGACTCAAATTAGTAGACCATAGAAAGGTCCCACACTCCGCTCCAGCAATCTCGTGGGTCATTCGAATTTGTTGATCATATATTTGCTTAAAGAATTTCGAAAACTTCAGGTCGTCCAAATTCTTCAAAGCTAAAAATTGATTAAATGCGTTATTTCTTAATCAATTGCAATAAAATCAGAAAGAATCAAATCTAATATAAAAATGGTCATCAGTTATATATCAGAAAAATTAGTACCCACATTATCTTTTTTCAGACTAAGAACCAAATTTATCAGTTATGTTCCTGCAAATAAACATTAATTTGCAAATCCAGGTGTAATATGCCAGCTTCTTTTAAGTGAGTGTATTTTCTTCTACCATAGTATTTATGTTAGTTCGGAAATATTAGTAATTACAGCTCTTTAAAAAAAGAGAAAACAAAGTTTCATGAAATAAAAATTGCATGGCTGGTCACGTATTTTTCTGAAAGGAGATTGCTGCGGCACAACATTACACGTGCTTATGTGTTTATGGGCACAACTAGGGTACGGGACGGGTCGGGTCAAACCCGAAATTTCGCGGGTCGGGTCGGGTTCAGATTCGGGTCGGGTCCAAATTATAGACCCGTTATAGATCGGATCGGGTTCGGGTCGGGTTCGGGTTCTGTTTATTGACCAGTAAGACCCGATCATATCTGATTTACCCGGAGCAAAAAAATCATTGCACAGTTCAAAGGAAGAAGTTCGTCTGATTGGCTAATTTTGATGGATCTACCCGTGATTACCCGTGATAATTAACCAATCAA